TCCCTGTCTTAATTGTGATATGCCTTAACTGTTTTCCATGCTTAACTGTCACATGTTAATCAATGTCTTCTGCTGCTAATAATATTAGATCTTTACATAGTTTCATGATTTCCTGTCAATTGCTCAAATTGGCTTATTTGCACCTTCTAATTGTCAATTACTGGAATGGTTTCGCTCTTTAGTGTTACTTATGTAGATTCCCATGCTGTACAAGATTTACTTTTTGGTTCAGTTTGGTATTCATTGAACATAAAGGTTCTCGTGATTTAAATTGTTAGATTGACTATGCACATTGAGTATTTGGTATTGATATGGTGGGATCGGGTTGTACGCTGCAACAGGTGGAATAAGGGTGGATTGATACAATGGAATAAGGGTGAATTTGTTTTGTACGGTGGGATCGAGTTGCACACCGCAACAGGTGGAATAAGGGTGGATTGATATGGTAAAATAAGGTTGTGTTATGATACTGATATTGATATATGGTGGGATCGGATTGTGCGCCACAACAGTTATATATTATCTCTGTTGTTGATGTTATTACGGTGAAATAAGGGAGGATTCTATGTTGTACGGTGAGATCAGGTTGCGCGCCGCAACAACCTATGTGTTTCTATTTCCTTGAGTTGTGTTGGTTTTCGATATTCTCATTTGAAATGCTAAGAATTGGTAATTCTGGAAGACACTGGTTAATAACTTGAGGATGTAGTTATTATTTGCAGTTAAATTTCTTATCTTGTTCCGTATTTCCTTTTTCTGCCTTTATTATATATTGCGTACAGATTGTAGTGTGAGTGACCCGCCTTAGCCTTGTCACTACTTCGTTGAGGTTAGGCTCGGCACTTATAGAGTATATGGGGTCGACTGTACTCATAATACACTATGCACTTCTTGTGCATATTTTGGAGTCGGTCCCAATGACGGTTATTAGTGAGCTCGGATCAGACAGCTTGCGGAGACTTGAGGTACAGCTGCTCAGCGCCCGGAGCTCCTGGAGTCCCCTTCCCTTTTCTTTATTTCAGTTGTATATTTTCATGCAGACGACTTTGTATTTATTTCAGACATTTGTATGTACTATTCTAGTAGCTCATGCACTTGTGACACCGGGTTCAGGAATGTATTAAACGTTGGGCAGTTTTAACTTCCGCATTATTACTTTGGTTTATTTCAGTTATTTCTGTTCTTCCCCAATATCTAACTTAAACAGTTAAAAATGGATAGATTGTTCTAACGTTGGCTTGCCTAGCAAGTGAAATGTTAGGAGCCATCACGATCTCGACGGTAGGAATTCCAAGTCGTGACACACATATACTTTTATATTTTGATAGTCTTTTGTATCTCTTTCCTCTCTTAATATGTTATCGAACTTTAATGTTTCTTTATCTCCATTGCAGTGGGAAGAAAGGACGAAATATAATTGAAAATATGATATTATATATATGTGTGTGTACACATATTTATGTATGTTGTATATAAATTTTATATATTTTTACGGCTACTGATGATAAATAATTTTAGTCACGGGCTAAAATTGGTCTTTGCCAATATCATGGGAGATAATAAAAAAATAGCCAGATTTACAACTGGTCGTTCAAAAATAGCTCAATTTCAAAAGTAATCGAAATTTAGCCACTTTTCATGTAAAGATAAATCTGACTGAAAACACTGTTCAAAACCCGGAAAATACGCCAGTATATTATACAAGAATTCCAGCATAAGTATGCTTGAACTCCAACATGTTATACTGGAGTTCTAGGATAAGTATGCTGAAACTCCAGCATAAGTACACTAGAACTTCAGCATAATATACTGGAGTTCCAGCAAGTATAATTGTCCAGTATAATATACTAGAGTTTGGAGCACCGGTGCTCCAGTCTCCAGTATATTATACTGGAGTCAGCAAAGTATACCGGTCCGACATAATATGCTGGAGTTCATACACAGGTGCACCGAACTCCAGTATATTATGCTGGACCGGTCTCTGTTACAGCAAAATAGTGGCTATTTTTCATTGGCTTCGTAAACGCTGGCTATTTTTGGACCAGTCCGAAAACTGGCTATACCATGCTATTTTTACCAATATCATTGTACCAAATTGCACGGGGCGTCCTATTTGGTCGCCCCCATTTAACTTATACCCATTTTTTTAAAAAACTTTTAACTTGTACCCACTTTTTAAACAACTTGAACTCCTTTCTCCTCCTTCGTTTTCTTCTCTTTTTTTTTTCTTCTATTAACAACTGAAAAACACTATGATTAATTCTCTAATACTACCACCATTCTCAAGCAATGGCTTAAAGAAGAAAAACTCATCCTCAACAAAATCGCTATAATTATGATTGTACAAGCTGCTCATATTATGCTTGTTTTGTCAAATTTGCAGGAAAATTTTTCCACCATTAGTTAGTCACTGGAGTAAGAAGAATTGCGCCAGCCAATCTGTTACATATTACTCCAGTTTACATTGATCGGAAACCCTTCTTCTTTGCGGGGCAACTAATTTTAATATCACTACAATTTGTTCTAACTAAGAAGACTCTAAAATTAGACTACTTGTTTCTGCAACTGAAAGGGAATGATTGTGCTCGCCTTCGTATGTAACAATCAGCATGGTGCAACTAAGCAAGTTAACAGCAATAAGAGCTAAAGTTCGCCAGTTACAAACAAAAATTTCAGCTCTAGAATTTAAGTTGGCCGGTTACAATACAAAAACTTTGTCAGTTACAAAACAAAAATTTAAGCTTTAGAGCTGAAGTTCGCCAGTTACAAAACAAAAATTTCAGCTCTTAAGCTGAACTTCGGGCCCGTCTACTAGAAATGCTGAAGTTTTGCGTGATTGCCTTGCTACTTCAGCCCCGTATGCTGAAGTTATGCGAAAAAGCGGGTACGCTTGCAGTTTTTTTTTTACAAAGCGGGCACAAGTTAAAACGTGACACAAAAAGCGAGTATAGATGCAAATGCCCCAATATCATTAGTTCACGGCTTCAGCCCTTAATAAAAAAGTTAGTTCTCATCTCCAATTATATTTTTGCATTATATGGTTCTATTAAGTTCTTATGAGATGGAAAAAATTTCAGCAAAATACTCATGTGTGTAATAGTAATATACTTATGCAATATTTCTTTACAACATGTACCAATGGTTCTCTTGGTAGGGTTACAATATTCTCTAATTATATTTGTGCTTTTAGTAAGATTGTACATGTTGACTGTGGTCAACCAGATTTAAGGAAAACTGTACATAGCAGTTGTGATAAGACTTCTGAGAATATTCAAGATTGACATAAATCAGAAGTTCTACACTTTCTGTTTCTCTCTCCATAGATAAATAGTTTTACACTCCATAAAGTACAGTCCTAAAATTCGATACGACATTGTTGGTGATTCTAATTCGGTCGAAGTTGAATTTGACTCACTTCAAAAAAATTATTGTTTGATTTAAGAGAAAAATCAATCTTGCACGTTAAAAGACATATCTAGAAAAATAAAAATGCCCATGAGATAGAGAATGAGCTGGTCACGCAACTTACCATATCATAATTTTATTTTACCTGAAATCTAACCAGTTTCATTTAAACTTAGAGAAAATCAAATTACAAACTTTAAAAACTCAAGTCTTTTCTTTTTCATATGTGAAGAGATTTTTATTACAACTCCGAAGACTAAATGCCAAATATAAAAGAAAATTATAGTAGAAGTAATGCAATGGTCCACTCGTGCTAGCACCTAAGGTTTTAATCTCGTTCTTAACTATGAGGTTTTTGTTTCAAACTCCAAAAAGGTAAAATGTTAGGTAACTTTTTTATTTGTCTAACAACCTGTTTGGATGGTTTTTACCTATTGTATTGTATTAATTTCAATATAATAATTTATTTTAATTATTATTTAAATTTTATTGTATCGCATTGTATGACGTCGTTACCTTATTTTATTCTCTCATCTTGCCTTCCTTATTATTAGATAATCTTATTTTATCCTTTACCCCACTTTTTTCTATAATAATTCTATTTCGTACCTTACATTTTTTTTTTGTAATATTATAAGTTTATTCTTCATATTATTAGTGCATGGTATTATGAAACAACGGCAAACAATACAATCTATCTAAATATTGTATATGTTAAAATAATACAGTACAATACAATACAATACAATACAATACAATATATTATGAAACAATGCATAACAACTGTTTACCTATAAAACGGTACAGTTGAATTTATCGCGTGGTTTATAGACAAGTGAACTGATTTGACCAAAAAATGATAAAGAAATAGAGCAAAAAATAAGGTTAACGACTGAAATTAAAGAAGATAGCGAGCCTGACTCCGAACTCGATCTTTTCGAGAGCAGAAATGAAAACAATGATAAAGCGATGATGAAACTATTAGATTGAGCGTAAAATAGTGAAGTACAACTTTGTGTACAGAATATTTTTTTTGTCTTACAATGATTGTTAACCCTCCTATTTATAGTGAGGGAAATAAGATCTCCAAATCAAGCTTCTTGAATTAGAATAAATGCGTCACTGATGGGTGCATAATGTCTGGCTTTGAATGCAGATATTCTTTGTGACGGCTGCTCATTGAATGCCTTCCGATATTAAACCTTTGAATCTCTACTATCGGCTATGCTTCCTTCAGGATCCATCTTGTACCGGTTATATACTTCGCATTCGATGTCAATTATTTGTTAACTCATCTTTTATCTGTCTTCGGTTCCACGTGTCGCTTTATCATTTGACCACCTGTTATCCACCAATTTCACCCCATACAACAACCATCCAAACGACCTATAAGTTTTGTTAAGCAGATATTCGAAACATAGTGATAAAATAGTTAAGATGCACGCAGAAACACCTCTATCATTAAAAATGGTCCCGTGCCAGACCGAGTATAAAACAAGTGTTATAAGTGTTGGGTGACGTGGAATGCGGCTTATACATAGAACCATTTTGGTGTGGTCAATGGGGTACGTGGTCAAGCTAAAAAGCCAAATAGCTCTAGGCAATTTTCTTCTGTGGACTGTGGTACACGTACATGTAAGGATACAATATCTATAAATCTCCAGTCTTTAGTTGGCTCTTTCTCTCTATATATATTGCTTGCTCTCTCAGCCATATGGAAAGAGAATAATAGCATTAGCAAGATTCTGAGGTTTCTTTATATAACATAAAGGGAACAGTGTCATAAGAAAAGGGGCAAAACACAAAAATATGGAGAGGGAGAGTGATGTTGTAAAGGTATCAAAATTCAAGAGGATTTGTGTGTTTTGTGGGAGTAGTCAAGGCAAGAAGAGTAGCTATCAAGATGCTGCTATTCAGCTTGGCAAAGAATTGGTATGGAAAAATGGCCCCCTTTTTCTTTTTCTGTTTTTTGATTTTTACTTTAACCCTTTTGCTTTTTATCTCATTCTGGTTTCTGCATAAAGATGGTTTCTTTTTTATGTTTCCATGATAATGGGGTCTTACTTTAAAGTAAATGTCAAGTTTTTGATTGGAATTTTGGGTTGATTGTTCCCCTTTTGCTCAATTTTCTCTAATTTTTCTGCAATATGCTGTTCTTTAAGCAGAGGACTTACATGCAGTGCTTGTATTTCTCTTAAATACAGAGCATTTCTGTTTCTTTTGTGTGTGTGTGTTGGCAACCACTCATGTCAAGTTTCATTCTTTTCTGCAAGCTGCTTTGAGTTTTTTCTTTGTGTGTGTGTGTAAGCATACCACTACTGTCAAGTTTCATTCTTTTCTGCAAGTTGCTTTGAGTTTTGTGTGTGTGTGTAAGCATACCACTACTGTCAAGTTTCATTCTTTTCTGCAAGTTGCTTTGAGTTTTGTGTGTGTGTGTAGCATACCACTCATGTCAAGATTCATTCTTTTCTGCAAGTTGCTTTGAGTTTAGCACATGGGAAATATAACAAGGTTTTCTAGACTTTTAAAAAATCTATACTTACCGTAACTTTCATCTACAGGGTCTTTTGATCTCATACTCCTATTTCTTTGGGGCCCCTTTTCTCTCTTATTCTCTAAATTGTACAATCTTTGCATTTATGGCCTCTTATCTTCTTCATAACATATAGGAGCAAATGAAACAGACACTAAAAAGTACATTTGTTTTATTAACATGGTATAATCCATTTTTACCCTTTTCATAATCGTTAAACAATGTGATTCTGCTTTTAGACTTTAGGTGAAATTATTTTAAACTTTAATTTCTCAATCCTTTAACTTTTTTAATCTTGATTTTGTATTGTGGAAGGTCTCAAGGAATATTGATTTGGTATATGGAGGAGGGAGCATAGGTCTAATGGGTTTGGTTTCACAAGCCGTTCATGATGGTGGTCGCCATGTTATTGGGTGAGAACAAGTTATTTTATATGCTAATAATATCTTAGTTGTCCCTCAAAACTCTAATATTAGAGTTAAAAGATTATATTTTATACAGTTCTATCACTTGCTAACATGATAAATGAACAACAAGGGTGGTTGTGTTACCAACGATGGAGTAGTAAGTACTCCTTCATCCTTAATCAGAGATCTCGGGTTCGAGCCCTGGACATAGAGTCGTCTTTGTTAGGAAGAGCTTTACCCCACAGTGTAGGACTTTCAAGCGCGAATCCAAATTTATTTTCAGGCTCCAACGAAAGTACCGAACACCGGACGGAAACCAAAAATAATAAACCAAAAAAAGGATGTCTCTTGTGTTAATTAGTACGGTATAGTTGGTTTCTTTAATTTGTTTTAAATTAATTTTTGTCATGTTATTGTCTGCCTGCAGAGTCATTCCCAAGACACTCATGCCTAGAGAGGTATGTCTGCTATGATCAAGAAAATTAATGTTTGTATAACAATAATTATTCCATTGTTTAAGAGCTGGAACTTTGAGTTTATTTATTTCAGTTGATGTAGCAAAGACAGTATTTACAAAGTTCTATGCTGTGTTCTTTTCTTAATTGTTTGGGTACTGAAGACACTGTTTGTGTTTTCTTGTCTTTGATTGCCTTATCCATATACAATAGTACTTTGACATCTGACTTTTCATTAATATTAGTATGTATTTTTAGGTTCTAAATGGTTTTCCTGACTTTTCCTTCTTCACTCTGTTTCAGAGAGCAGTATTAGCTCTTGTGTTTTCTTTCTTGGCTGTTTCTGCAACTGATATGTATGTATATATCTTGAACTTTTGTTTTTATTTATTTTTATTTTTTATATATATCTTGAACTGTAGTGGTGTATTAAGGCCAAGGCTACTTTCTTCTGCAACTGCTGACTCTAAAGACTTTTTTGGGATTAAGTTTTCTTTTTTACTGAAATACTCATCATTGCTTTACTGCACAAAATTCACTACACAACAAGCAGAACTTTTCTCTCTTTCATTTTTTATCTTTATTTATACCAAATATCTGATTTTTGAAAAAAAGGTTTTTTTTTCCTGATATATTGTACTTTTTCAATAGTTAACTGGTGAAACAGTAGGAGAAGTGAAGGCTGTTGCAGATATGCATCAAAGGAAAGCAGAAATGGCTAAGCATTCTGATGCTTTTATTGCCTTACCAGGTTGGTATAAGGTCTATAGTCAAAGTTTAACTTTTACACGCAAATGAAAAAAGAAAATCAGTGCTTTAATATTTGCTATTTTGGGCAATAGATTCATTATATGCCTCCTATTGTTTATTCTTCTGATAGTTCAGATAGTTATCTTTTTGGCTTAGTATTCCTCTTCTGTCCTCGTTAGAGAAACTATGTATAAGTTCCTTTAAAGGACAACAATAATAGAATTTTGCAGGATTTGTACAGCATTCTTACTCCTTGATACAAGTCCCAAAACAAGGGATTGCCATAAAGAATTAATTATGCTAAAAATTATTTATATTTAGTCGAAAATATTAAAAGGACAGCCCGGCGCACAAGACATCCCGCGTTCATGCAAGGTCCAAGGAAGGGTCGCACCCAAAGGGGTGTGATGTAGATAGCCTAACCTAGTCGAAAATATTCTTAAAGATATATATCTGTACAAAATTTGCACCCATGTTACAAAAGAGTGGTACCTAATTATGGAGTATTAATAGTCGTTTAGCGAGAAGGAAAAAGAAGAAAAGGAAAGGATGTGAGGGGTTAGTAGCTATGTTGCTCGGATCCTTCAAAAATATCGCTGCAATCGTGTCAAAAAAATCAAAAATGCATTATTTTTAGAGGATCCGATCCAACACACCTAGCGGTATTTTGGAGGATCCGAGCAACACATGTTAGTAGTTGCTTTTGTTGTGAAGCTTAAATAATCAGTTACTATTTCACAAGCTCTATGGTCCTTGAAGTTCTCACAATTTCCCCAGTGTCATGATTAAGGAGCAACAGTTCAAACCGTAGTTGTTGACCTATCAATATCTTGCACTGAAATTGGAGTTATTCACTGTGAAAGAACCTACTTCTGTCATTTATTCTTTTCCTTTAATGTGCTATAGTCAGTTGGGGTGATAGAAAACGGGAAAAAATTAAACTGTCATACTTTCACTAAATTGGTAATACCAACTGGCTGCTGAACCTAACAAGGAATCATGCACACTCCACTTAAGGATCTCAGTTCTCTACAATTCAAACTGCTCATATTATTCCTTTTGGTTGCATCTTAACTATCTAGTCAGAATGGAAACGTTGGTGTAACTTATAAAGTTGTTGTCACGTGACCTGGAGGTCACGTGTTCGAGCCGTGAAAACAACCTCTTGTAGAAATACAGGGTAAGGTTACGTACAAAAAGACCCTTATCGTCCGGCCCTTCTCCGAAACCCGCACATAGCGGGAACTTAGTGCACTGGGCTGCCTTAACTATATAGTCACAAAACTTCCTAACAGAATAAAATAGAACTATTTTTGAATTAAACACCTTGTCTAGACATTTTGGCAGAGGATTATTATATTTATGAGATTCATGCACTGTGTCATTCTTCTGTTGTTCTTGATTTTATGTTTCCATTTTCCCACTTTGCTTTTTAACATTTGACTAATTTGATCAACCTAAGTAGGACATTATGGTCTATTAATCATTAATTTCTCAGTAGCTAAGCACAACATTAGATGGTTTTAGAAGAAGCATTAACGGGTATTATCTCCTTCACATTCCAGGTGGTTATGGAACTCTTGAGGAGCTACTTGAAGTGATAACCTGGGCACAACTTGGCATCCACGATAAGCCGGTATATTCTTTAATTCTTTGTATAAATTTAAGATCATCAGTTTTTATTTTCAACATTCACAATTGAGAACTGAAAAAAACATACATTTTGCAGGTAGGATTGCTGAATGTGGATGGATATTACAATTCATTGTTGTCATTTATCGACAAAGCTGTCGAAGAAGGTTTCATCTGTCCAAATGCCCGCCACATCATTGTATCAGCACCAACACCAAAAGAGCTAGTCAAGAAATTGGAGGTAAAACTCTTAGTAGAAGCAAATGCAATGTTTTGATCAAGAAATTAACTTCCTCTCTTTACCTGCTTAGAAACATTTTTACCCTTAAAAAGACAAGAAAATCGCATTTTCTTCACGTATATTTGCTTGATCTGCAGCCTATAATGAACATTGACCCCTTCTGGCAAAAGGGAATAATAATAATCCTTGCCATATTAGTCTAGCCACAATCATCGTTCAACAATATTTGTCATGTAAAGTCATTCTTATTCTTCATTAAAGTACTGTTTAAAATGGAAATCTATATTTAGAAGTACATATTTTCTTTGCGATTGCAGGAATATGTCCCTTGCCATGAAAGAGTTGCGTCTAAGTTGAGCTGGGAGATGGAGCAGCTTGGCTACCCTCAAGCACAAGAAATGGCAAGATGAACGTTGGATTTGCAGCGTAAAGTTTCGCGTTAGGACATGAAAATATTGAATTTGAACAAGCTAGCCTGAAATTCGTATTTTTGTTGTGGGGGAAGGGTGTTCTTTTTTGTTATTCACCCTGTAAATTTCTCTAGAATTGGCTATATATCTCACCCCCCCTGTTCTCTTCAAGTGGAAATTTCCTTAATATACTGTAAGCTGTAACTATTAAGATATGCATTTGTATTTATTTCCTAATGCTGACTTGCTAAGTGTAACAACGGCTACTGACTAAAAGAATAAAAGCAAAGAAGAAGACAAATTAGAAGAAAAGATAAGGATTGTTTCATTCAGCATAATATTCCAAATGGAATTACACAGTGATAAATAAGACAAGATTCTTTAACAACCTAGACATGTGGCAAATAAAGCAGTGGCCACTTGAAGGGACTGAAAACTAAATAAAAAGGACTCTTGACATAAACTAAACTTAAGACCTAATTTGCAAAATATCATAAAGAGATTCTAAGGCTTCAGACTATTTCCAATTCAAAAACATTAGCATCGTCTCACAACAATCACATCCCCCATTGAAGATCCTTGACAGTAAAGTCAAGGTTATGCATCATCAAATTCAGTAAACTGAGAACGAAGTAATCCGTAGTCTTCCCACGTAGCCTCTTCAGGAGAAAGATTAGCCCACTGTACCAGAACTTTTGTCACTGCCTTGTTCCTTTTCTTAACCATCCTCCGATCCAAAATCGCCATCGGTTCCACAAGAATTTGGCCCTCGTTATTGCAAATTGGAGGATCAATCATAGCTACCACTTGATTACCCACTTTGTTCTTCAATTGCGAAACATGAAACACCGGTGAATTTTTTATCCGGGCGGTAACTTCAATTTATATGCTACTTGGCCAATTTTTTCCAAGATCTGATAAGGCCCGTAGTACTTTGATGCTAACTTCAGATTCTTCCGTATTGCTACCTACGCCTGTTGATATGGTTGCAGTTTGAGGTATACCCATTCTCCTTCCTCAAAAGCCCTCTTAGTTCTTTTAGAATCTGCATAAAGTTTCATCCTTTCTTGCGCTTTCTTCAGATTTTTCTGCAACACTCGACCAATCACTTGTCTTTCTTTTAACACTTCATCCACTGAATTCACCCGAGACTGAGCAATCAGTTCAAATGTTGGCAGGGGAGGATCGTAGCCATAAAGTGCCTTAAAAGGGTGTTGCGGAAGCCAAATGTATATAGTGTGAATAAGTCACAACTACTATACCAAAAATTA